ACTCAGTTCTTCAAAAGGAAAACTCTCACTGATTCCAAGAGGACTTTGGCTTGCGTTAGACACAAAGGAGCAGGTTCGGTTCTGGAAGGTCACTGCTTTAAATGTTTTCCACCTGCTGAGCTGCTAAAACAGGGTGAGCTCTAATTGCAGATTTCCCTCTGTCTCTCAGCTAATAGTGACTGTGGCTTCTCTTTTATTTTACATAGACACAGAAACTGATGCTAAAACACCAACTTTTCCCTTCCCAGCGATTCAGTTCTTTATTTATCTCTTTGGACTGGGGGGGGGGGGGGAAGAAATATCAAAATGCTTTAAAGTTGTACAATTTGTAATTTTCAATGGTGGTTTTTATTTTGTTCACAGCCTGATTTCTGTGCCCTAGCAGAGGGGCCACCAAGATGAAGCAATAGTTCACTTTAAACACAAAATGTCTTATTTAATAATACAAAGGTAAAAATACCCCCCTCTCTGCAAGGGGTCTGTAAGTGTTTCTATAAAAATAATTCATGCTTTATTAAATACAGGGGAGACTTCTTAAACTGCTGGGCTTGTGTCGAACTCATTTATTTGTCTTTTGTATGAGGGCTCCGGTTTGTGGCTCTTTTGCATTTATATAAGCAAAGTAATGGGCGATCTATTTATTACAAACTTTTACCTATCTGGGCAAGTGCTGTTGATAAATGCTGCTGTATTTGCTGCTGGTTTATTGCTGAATCAATTCTTTTCAATGAGGATTTCACCAAATAGGCTGATTTTGTAGAAAACACGTTATTGCCAAGCGAGGTTTCTTTCTTTTTCTTTCCTTTTTCCCCTCTTTTTTCCCCTTTTGTAACAAGGTGCTTGTCCTCTTCATTCCGTGTTCATTTAGGCAGCGATGCGATACGGTTCAGTTTAGGTCAGTGGCTTATAAAAGGGAGGGAGGAGAGCCTGTCTTTTTTTATTCCCGGAGCTCCATCCCTTCCATAGGGGTTCTGCCCATCTTCGGGGGGGAGCCCGGGAGCCGATCCCATGCTTGAGGCTGAGCGTGTCCTTCAGTGCTTCCCGGGATCCGCTCTGGAGGCCCCTGCGCTTTGTGGATTTGAATTCTGTGCTCTTCAGAGCAGGCTGGGTGTTTGTGAAGACCCTAATCCAGCAACAATTGCACAGTCAAAACTCCTTTTGAAAGCATTGTCACGTTGGGTTCTTGTAAGTCCTTGTTTACAAGAGCGTTTCCATTGACTTCAGTAGCGTTACTTGGGTGAATAGCGGTCTGTGGGAGAAGGGCCTGGAAAAACCTGTGCTGTTCTACATGGGTTTTCCATGCAGAAGCATGGACATGCAGCACGCAACCGTACGCACGTGCGATGGGATCTCAAGAGTGGTTTTAGAAGCAATTGCTCTCTTTTGATCTTTTCTTCCTTGACCTTCACCTTGTTGCTATGTCCAGCCCGGATGAGGGTGTTGCAATGCGTGAGGCTGAAGACTCGTGCAAAGCCCATGTGTAGGACCATTCACTAGGAAAAAGTTACAAGGCCTTGTGAGTATTATTCCTCTTGAGCTAATCTATACAAACAGATAGTTTGAAGGCTGATCAAAGTGTCTTTAACATGCCTTGAGTTTCCAGCACCCCAACACCTCTGCTTTTGGCTCAAACTAATTGTCCCTGTGTGCTATCACTGTGCGATGCTCCTCGCTGCCCTTCCTCTCCTGTTACTCCTGGTATCCATTTACCCAAGCCTTTGCTTGGGGAACAGAGGGGGATTTGTAAATCTGTATCCCAGGAGGAAGAGTGTACTTCAGTTATGATTTGTAGACCAATGATGTCTATTATTTTAATACATGTATGTGTGCCCAGATGCTGCGCGATGGGTACACCATACAGAGCTATAAATAAATACAGTTTTCAAATATCAGTGGTGATTCACATTCTTTTGCCATCCCAGGAGGTGGCAGATGTTGCAGTGTCCTCTCAGGAATGATTCCTTTGGCCATAGTCTGGATTTTTATCCTGGATAAGAGTGTTGCATTGAAGCTTTGCTTGTTCTCACAATGTTAAATGTAAGCATTTGCAACCTCTTTCTGTTACTACTCCTAGTAGATAAATTCATATATGTTAAGTTTAAACAACTGATACCAATCCTTAAATGCTGCCAGCACTGTTGAGCTGGGAACAGGGAACTGTGGTGCTGGAGCAGCTTCTGGAAGGTCTTGTCTTTGTGTGTGCCATGGAACTGGGTGCTCAGCATTCCTCATGCCAACAAAATATCCATGAAGTTATAAATGAAATTAAAGGGACCATTACAAATATATTTTGATTCTAAATCCTTCTAGGATTGCTATCATCTTCTGTTTCCTTTCTGGTTGTTATCTGTGGTGATTTTAGCTGTAGAGCATGGGGTCATGCTTGGAAAATTGAGTTTGTTGCTTGGAGAGCTTTTATGCATCAGATACCGAATTGTGTTGCAGAGATTGCAGGGTTAACGTGACCTTACAGCTCCAAATTACCCCCCCTCTGTACCTGGGATTCCTGTAAGGGCACTCTTAGGGCAACTGCTTTTCCTGCAGTGTTTTCCCCATTTGTGTATGGGATCACTGAAGGTGATGGGAGCAGCTGGTTTTATTGCACATGTCATGGTTTGGTTCTTGGAGAATCCCCTTGGTCCTCAACATTCCACTCTTGGGGATGAGGGGCACAATGGGGCTCTCTGCAGCCTTCTGTTACAGGCTGCCTTCAGATGAGGACCAGCTCCACTTGGGTACCATTTGGTGCGCTCTTAAAGAGTGGTTTTGGCAACTGTAAGAATTCGAGTTCTTTTCCTGATTGGTTTTAATCCAAGCTCTTCCTGCAGGATCCAAGCTTTAAAGCAGCTGCTGGTATCTCACATGGTTTGGAATGAAACTCTTCACTCTGCTCCTCGCGGAAGCCCAAGTTTGCAGGACAGGTCGAGTGTGACGTGGGCAAAATGTCTCTTTATATGGTGTGTGAACGGTCACACAGCTCAGCCCGGGAATGTGAGCTGGAAAATATCCCCCTGGCTTCCATGGAGCCGGAGCGAGCCACGGGGAAGTGTTGGGAGTGAGCACTGCCCTGCATGGTCGTGCTCAGTGCCTCGGGAAGAGCTGTGTGCTGTGCTCCTGCACGAACCAGTGTGCACAGGGGGTGTTGCACGGGGAGGATGCTTTTTGTGGATAAAAAAATAGAGATTTTGGCTCTGTTTAAAAAGGTTTTTTTCCTGTTTTTGAATTGTCTCTGGGTGGCCTTTAAAATCCTTATCTGCTGGAAGCATCTTTAGGCTGTGCGCCTATTCAGGCTCACTGTATTCATTCTGGTTCTAGATCTAACAGCCATTAAGGGTTGATTAAATCTTTAAAACAGTTGTGTTTTCTGAGTGAGTGGTGGGTTAGGAATACCCAAACCACCCCAGTCAACAAAAACACAGGCGAGAAATAGCAGTAAATATTTATAAGGAGAGTGGGTTTTAATGTACATAGCCAAAATGTCCTCTTAGGTCATTTATTTTAGGGGGTGGCTTTATGAGTGCTCTTTTGTGCTTCTCCCCATTTTTTTCCTCTTCTTTTTTGTCCCTATTTCCCTGACAAATTGTGTTGCTGATTTGAGAAAGGGAAATCTCAAATGGAATAGCCTGGCTGCAACGAGAAAGCCTGGTTTGGGAAATTACATTTGCTAGCCAAAGCATTGCAAAGATAAGCTCAGCTCAGGCTTGCAGCTATTTTTGGGCAGCATGCAGTCCTCCGGATATGGGTCAAATCCTGCCGTTGATAATGCAATTCAATTAAATCCAGTAGACGCGGCTCCGGCGCCTGTCATTCCCGTGGATCTCTATGGGAATCCCATCGCAGCCCGGAGCCTGCAGCCCACCTCGCTCCCACCGCTCCACTGAGCGCAGGTTCCCCGGGCGAGCAGTGAGTTACTCACTGGTGGTGTCTGAACAGCTTCACGTTTCCAACACGTTCCTTTACTTATACCTTTAAGAAATGCCCTGGAAAATGGATTCCTGTTAATAACCTGTAATTACACCGACGCACGAGGATGATGTGGTCCTTCACTGCCAAAGCTACCCTCTCATCTGACAATTTCCTGCAGGATGACAAGCTCCACGGGTACACGGGAGCACAAGAGAGGCTGGGGGTGAGGAATTAAAAGCACCGTTTTGCTCGCAGCACAGGCTGTTCCAGACGCACTCCTTTATGTGCCCTGTGTTTAGGGTGTTAGTTCCATTTAGCAAATAAGCGTGTAAATAAAAAGGAAAATTAAGAGGAAAAAATGCCACAGGAATTCTGTCAATCAGTTTGATGGCTTCTGCTTATAGTTCATAAATAGGCAGAGGGGTTTACGGAGCACACCGTGATGCAGGAAAGGCTCTTGTGATGGTCTGGAATTAAGATGTATTGATAGGTTTGGGTTGGTACAAACATTCCCCCGCATGATCCTGAGTGCAAACCGCGGCAGCGTGGTTTGAGGGCATGTGAACCAGAAATTAAAAGCGAGCCTGAGAGTCTCTTTTAATTACACTGCTAAGTGAAAGGCGAAAGAGAGGGAATGAACAGTGAGGAGGGAGGCTCCAGCGGTGCAATACGTTAACAATCCGTGACTTCCACACACTGCATTTTCTGCTTGATGTGGGTTTATAGTGACTGGATCTCCTTATCAAACACTGTGAATTACCAGCTCCTTGTGCTGATCCCAGTAACCGGAGCAGGGCCCAGTCTGGGGCTCCCCCTTCTCCCATGTTATGTACATGTGCAATGCATGTGTGCAAGTGTAGCCTTCCCTTTTGCACCAGTGTAAGCAATGGAAGCAGGACGGAAAAGAAACAGGTCTATAGGCTCTGTTGGAGTTTGCAGTTGTACATACAGGGATCTTAATGCATTGCTGGATTTGGGATTTATACCAACCAGCTGTCCCGTTAGTCTCAGCGGGTGAAATCCTGATCTCGCTGGCGTGAGGGGCAAAAACACTGCTGACTTTAAGCAGCCCATTTTTCACTCCAAAGGAGTAATGCAGCTCACTGTGTATTTTTTATTAATTATACTGGGTATGTTGTATTTAACCATCACTAAAAGCCTCTCTCCCTTTATTAACAGGGCTATTTATTATTGGTGAGGTTAGAGAACATCCCCTTTTCACTCTTTAAGAGTGCAGAGGTTTGAAAATGCAGTTCCGCAGGGGGGTTCTTGGCACTGGTTCTTTGCTTAGGTGAGTGGTTCGTTACTCCTGTTTCACTTGTTTCTGCTCCTTAATTTTCTGTAGATTTATTTCTCCAGGCTCCTCCCTTTGTTTGCAACGGCATCTTTTACTCTGGAAATAAAACACCTATGAACTCAAAGGAAAAAGAAAGACCTAGAAGCAAAGCCAGGGAAGACACACGGTACCCGTCCCCTAGTTTTGAAGTTTCCTGGTTTATAAACCCATGTCTTAGTGAAAAACAGATGATAGTAGTGCTTAATGTCACATTGGTGGAGCAATGGTAAACCCACATAATATATAATGCAGAGCATTATAGCTGTCACTCACGGTGTGATGAAATAAATACAAACTACAGTATGAAGGAGTGAGATGCTCAACAACATAAACTCCAAGGGTTTTGCTTGTGATGGAAATGTGCATTTTCAGTGAACATTAGTTTTCATATACATTTAATTGTATATTGTCTATGCACTAAAGGAGATAACATGGTTTTATAGGGGGAGTCCTGGGTGTGTGAGAAAGGGGTGAGACCTTGGGGTGTTTCCCATCCATCCCCTGCAGGACCCCGGTGGCGGGAGCATCGATGGCTGTGATAATTAATGATATTCCTCTGCCCTCTGTAGGAGAGCTGCCCGCATTGAATGCTGCTGTGGGAGCACCCTGACCTGTGCAGCCCCCACCGCTCTGCATCCCAATTAGAAACCAGGTCTGGATTCATTTTTAGAGCCTTTAAAAGCAGGTAAGAGTCCTGAGTGAACACAAAGGGGATGAGCAGCAGCCTATGCAGCTCCTCTCCCAGCCAGGGCTCGAACCAGCTCAAGTTTGCAGGTTGCTGCTGGCACCTTCATGGGGAAAATCTCAATGGCAGTTGTGGAAAACCCAAGTCCTGGAGGCCAGGCTGACCCCCTGAAGCTGTTCATTGTAGGGTCTGAAGTTCAGACCTGTGTCTGCAACTTGAATCAAGATGCAGATTAAGGTCCCTATCCCTTGTGACAAAGTATGTGCTAATTCCCATTGGCATTCCCTGATTCCAGGTCCACCCGTGTGTTTTGGGGCCACCCCACAAAGCAGCCTGGAGAAGCTGTTGGTGGCAAACCCAAGAACCTGTTCTCATTAATGCTCTCGGCTAGCCACTTTTCCATCACTTTGTTGCTCCTTCTAGGCGAGAGTTGGGCAAAAGCACCTCCAGGAGCTCTGGTGCTGGTGTGGATTTGGTGAGGTTGGTGTAACTCTGGTGTAAGGAGCCATCTGGTGTAAGTCTGGTGTAAGGAGCTGTCTGTGTACCAGGACTGGGGCTAACTATGAACCCACCATTCTAAGAGGGACCCTGGCTCCAGCAGAGGCTGGGGATCTTTAACATACGGAACAAGGAAAGAGCTAATTCAGGTCTGTGCAGCCATCGATGCTAAAAAGGTGCAATGTGAGTTAAAGCAGTTGTAGTATTTGATATTATATATTAGGATTTTGCTTTTATACCACTATACCGTTATCCCAGTGCTGCTCAGCTTCATCACACGGGTTCCCACAGCTCGGATATGCGGTTATCATTATCTTCCATCAGTGGGGGGGACCAGGAACCGGCACCGGCGGCCGGGCGGGCGGGAGCTAGGACCCAGCCCGTCCCCACTGCGCCTCAGGCCCCGCCCCACACAGCTCCACCCCTATATAGCCCCGCCCCGCGGGCCCTCCCTTCTCTCCCTCCTCCCTGCCGTGACAAGATGGCGGCGCCCTTAGCGCAGCAGCTGGAGGAGCTGCTCAACCCCCGGCCCAGCTTCCACGACCCCGAGGACGACGCGGAGGAAGGTGAGGGGGGGCCGGGCGGAGGGTTTAGTACCCGCGGCCGCCGGGGGCGGGATGGGCGCTGCTGGGCGCCTCCGGACCGGTCGCACGTGGCGGAGGAAGTCGAGGGGGTGCTCGGCCGTGCCCGGTCCGGTGCCGCAGACGGGACGCAGTCATCCCCGCGGACGCGTCGATCTACCCCCTTTGGGAGCCGCCTGTCCCCCCTGTGCTCCCAGACCCGGGCGGCCCTCGGCCAGCACCTGCCCGCCGCACCGCGCCTGGATGGTCTATTGCGAGGGCTGGGGCTACCTCAGGGACCAGGGTTCCCTCAGGAGTCGGGAGCACCTCAGGGATCGGAGTTACCTTCATGGGGACCAGCGTTACCTCAGGGCGCCTTCAGAGAGCAGGGTTTGTTACTTCAGGGGCCGGCGCCATGTCCGGGGGGACCAGAGTTACCTCAGGGGCAGCGGCCATCTTGGGGACCGGCGTTACCTCAGGGAGCGGGTTTACCTCAGGCCCCCGGGCTGGAGTCACCTCAGCTTTGAGTTTTTTCAGGCCTGCCAAGGCCGGGCTGTGCAGAGCCAGGCTGGGAGGGGATCCGGCTGGGAATCTGCAGGAGAAGAGAGCCGTAACAGCGGAGCGACGGGACGGGACGGTGCCGCGGCCGGGGCAGCTGAGGGAGCTGAGAGGCCGGGGCGCTGGTGACACCCCTATACACACACCATGTGCTCGGAGCAGGGCTCAGCACATTGCACACGTGTTGTCTGATGCTAAACAGCGGCCAAGTCTCCGTTTTATCTATTTAATCAAGCTGGTTTTGCCTTAGTTGCGGTTTTTGGTATCCCATCCCTTCTCCTATGGGGCATGTAGGTGGCGGTGTCCTCTTTCCAGGCTGATGCCTGCTGATTCCTTGGCTTTCTCCAGAGCAGTTTCCCCACGGGGCAGGACTCTTCTTTAGGACATCTTGTCCCATGCTCCTGCACTCACCTCTGGAGACTGTGAGTTAGCCCTTACACACTGGCACTAGTTGGTGAGAGGAAGTACTAGGTGCAATTCATGGTGAACGTGCCAGCTAGCTTGGATCTTCTATACAAGTCTATGTGAGAGCAATAATGCCTTGTAAGCAATTTCTTAGTAACTGTTGGGAAATCAGCATAGTCAGCAGAGATGCTTCCCCATTTTAATAATCATGGTTTAATTTCATACATCAGGGGTTCCAAAACTGGGAGTGCCAGAATACCCATTGAGTGTCAAAGGTCTGACCCTTTAGCCCATTCACTCCTTGGTGCCCAGCATCTCTTGTAGCTGGGGTGACTATTTAGACTTGCTTTGGTTGTGAACAGATTTTTTTTCCTTCCCCCCTGCCTCAGGTAAACGCTATATGTGAGGCATTTACATTTCCAGAGAACATTAAAAGAGCACTTAGCGATGTTCAGCCACTTGGAGCAGTCAGTTGGGTGAACAAAGCTAACCCTGTAACTTTGCATACAGGGTGTCTTGCACATGAATGGAAATAGGGAGGTGGGCTGGTAGGGTATGTTCTCTTTGCTGGATTGCTCTGTACCTGTGTTCTGGAGAAGATGGGTATGAAAGAGGGTAATAACCAAGGGAAATGATTTTTCTGTTTAGCTTTTCTGAAGTGTTTATGTATTTTTGTGTAGCAAGAGGCCAAAGTGCATCAGAACTGCAGTCTTCCTCTTTCATTCTGGAAGTGTGGAGTGGATGAAGGCATTCCTGCTTTGCTGAGCTCTCCACCTGGAGGACTGTACTTCTCATGAGTCTCTGGAAGGGCTTGGATAGGCTTAGTTTCAGGTGTGTTCTCTAAAGAGGAGGCAGGAAGGAAAGAGTGAATGTGGGCAATGTTCATTCAAAAGAAAGAATTCAGCAGGCTTTCTGTTAACAAACGTCAATCCCTGCATTGCAGGTAAGCCCTGTCATTCAGACCTGTCCCTCTATGCAGAACATCAGTGTGCTGGCTTTCCTTCACCAGGCAGGGAAAAGCCTTGCTCCCTCTCAGAGCCTAAAAGCCAGGCTCCTCTGTGAGGCTGTGATGCCATCCAGTTCACCTTTGCAGTGTATTTTGTTTGTGGAGCACAAGGAGTTTTCCATCATTCCTTCCTGCAGCTGGTTGTTCTAGTCTGAAATTCAGTTCAGTTTAGACATGCCTCCCCTTTTTCTTTTCCCCACAGCTACAGTTGCTAAAGTGATTGACAGATTCGAGGATGAAACTGCAGATGACGTTTTACCTGTTGGTAACATACGGAAAAAAGCTTCAACCTCTCTCTTGGAAGCTGATAAAAGGTACAGTGGAAAAGCTACGTCTCGCAAAGCTTTGCAAGAGGAACTCTGGGGAGATGCTGTATCTGAAGAAGGATCTGGTAAGATGTCGTTTCTTTCCCCTTTTCACTAGACTAGTTGAAATTTGAGTAGTTAACAGAGCTAGTGCTGTGTGAGCTGAGATGCCACTTTTGGTCCCTGTTACAGGGCAATAAACAGGTACATTTAGGTTGGACGTCTTGAAGTGCCTTCCCGAAATTCAGGAGTAACACTGTACAATGATAAAATGGAGTTTGGAGCTCAAATAGCCCAAACCTATAACTACTGATGATGAGTGCTGCAAAAAGGATTTTGCTGGTAAATAAATGTTTTCTCTTTTAATTTTTAGCTGAAGAAGCATTAGATGACTGGTACAGTGGCAGCGAGGATTTGGAAGAGAATGGCAGCTTGGGCACTAAGACAGAGGAGAAGCTGGGAAGTGCTGGCAGTGACCAGGAGGATGACTTGGAAGATGATGAAGAGACAGGTCCGTCTGCCAAGACCAAGGAATCAAAGTTCAGCTTCCAGAACATCACAGACTTTGAGAAATTTACAGAGGGGATGGATGATGTTGGAAGCAGTGAAGGGGAAGATGAAGATGAAGATGATGCCAGCATGGAAGAAGGAAGTGATGAGGAGGAATATGAGAGTGAAAACCATGACGCTGTAGAAGAAACCAAAGATCACGAAGATGATGGGGGAGTGATGACATTCTCAAAAGGACAAGAGACTGAAGAAGTAGAAAAAGGAAAAGCAGTGAAGAATCAGCTAGGTTTGTACACATTTGCCTTGTATTTTGGCAAGTCTTTCACCTTGCTGACACCATAAAAACTGGCAGTGTTAGGAACCACTTCAGCATGTTAACATGCTGTTAGCATACTGCATGGGCATGCTACAGCAGCCCTAGTCACATTTGCAAATGGTCTGCCAAATCTGCTAGGCAAGCTGGTGTCACTGCTGCTACAAAATCTCATGTTATGAAGTGTATTTATCTACTGGCTTAATTGAACCAGTAGTAAATTACTTCTGGTATTGGTGGGGATCAGGAGTTACCACACTGGTAGTGCTGATGCCATTTCTGTTTCATCTGAACATGTTATACTGACTGCAGTTTCTTCCTGTCTGTCCTATTAAATGATCAAACCCCCATTTGCAGAATGTACTTTTAAACAATAAAGGAAAAAGATGATTTTTCTTTTGTGGATTCCAGAATTGCAGACAGGATCATATTGCTTTATTTTCTCTTTTTTATAAAGCTCTGTGGGATCAGCTACTGGAAGGGAGAATCAAGATGCAGAAGGCGCTTGTAACGGTCAACCGGCTTCCACAGCCAGACACTTACCCAACCTTCAGGAAGGAAGGTGGACAGGAATTTGACAATGCGGTTCAGAACTGTAAGAATTCTTTTATTTCTCTACTTTAGTTAGAGTTGTGTAGCCAGTATGGTTTGCCTGTGTAGGAAAGAGTTAATAGGAAGGTGAGGGCTTTGAGTTCCAGGTGTCTTGTGTTAGCTGTTGGTTTGTGTTGTCTTAATTGTTAATCAAGATCCACCTGTTTTCTACCCCAGACAAAGAGACATCCTGTCCAGAGACACCTTGTGGTACCAATTTTGTGCTGGGGCAGTGAATACAAAAATTTGCCCTAACCAGGAATAATGTTAGCCCATAAGAGAGGGCCTGTGCTGTTATAGATCAGCAGCAAATACCTTTTCAACTTGGAGCTGCTTTATCTGTTTATTTTTTAGGATCACTATCAATGATATTGATCTGGTGAGATTTGTAGTAGATTCTCCAACATGGCAAATACAATTGCATGCTCCAGCTGATAATTGCAAAGTACTTCATTGTGTTGTGGGTCTATTTAATTTTTAGAATTAGACACCTTTTTTTACTGGAGTTAAAGTAAATGCACAGGGAGATGAATGTCTGGTACGTTATGCTTAGGAACAAATACAACCTACTGCAGGTATCGGTGTCTCTCCTTGACATGCTGTCTTCTGATTGCATTAATCACAAATTAATGAACTTTATAGAAGTCACAAATTAATGAACATCAAGAGGCATTGAGATCTTTTGGCCTGGCCTGGCCTGGCACAATTCATCTTAAAACTGGATTAGGAACTTTCCCCATCACTGTGCCTACACCAGGTGTAGACTCTCATCTTAGGGTGTATATCTCACCTGAACATGGCAGCTAATCAGCTTATCTGGAGTTCCAGCAGGTGAGATCTGTTACATTTTAAACTTAGCTCTGCTGCTTTAAATTAAGTGATTAAGGAAAAAAAGGCAAACTCCCAACAATACTGAGCTGACCTTTCAGTGAAATACATGTTATTAATGTGTTTAATGAGATGCATTACAAACTGCACCGAGCACCATGTTTCATTACAGGTCTAAAATGCAATATCATTAAAGACCTTTAACAGAAACAATGGTTGACATTTTGATATTTCCCATAAGCAAAATACATCTAAGAGCATGGAGTATAATACTGTATGCAGTACAGCAGGGAGGCTGATCTTCCAGTTGTTCAGAACACTGAAGCAAAATCCACTGTTAGTAACTGCCCAGCAGTTTCCTCCTCACCCTCATCTCATAGTCTTATCATAGAAAGTTGTGGTAGTGTACTCAGATGTCCCTGGTAGCCTGGGTTTGTGTTCTGGATTTCATCTGTGAAGACAGCAAGAAAATAAAGCTGGAGTAGGTTACAATAAACTGTAGTTTTTGATGAGCTACACTACCATGCAGTGCAGCTGTCTTTCACTGCCCTGCAAAGATGCTCTTTCCAGAGGTTACAAAGTGCCAAGCATGAAATAAAGAGTAAACTTAGACATGAAGATTCTGAAAGACTAGGGATATTGTTGGTTTTATGTGGCAAAGACCTGTTTCTCTCTTGCTGTGTTAGGCCTTGTAAGAGGGATTCGTGTCTGATCAACAGGTAGAGCTTTACCCAGTGTGCAATCTGAGCTGGGCTACATCTTAAGTCCAGAACTTCTGCCTGGATAGTGGGGCTGTGGCCTGTCCATTTAGGAGGTGAAACTAAGTAATTCTGAAAGTCTAAATCATAATATATTTATTAAACTGTCTTACTTGTTTCTGAACGGGCATGTAGTAGGCTGGGTAAATACTCTGAGTTTTCATCCCTTCTGTGCTACCATCTGATGAGTAGGATCCCATTCCCCAGACATGAAAAAAAAGAATTGTGCATTAGAAAGTTGAAAGATGAGTGTGCTGTAAAGGAAGACAGGACTTTAAATACTGAATGTTGAGGTAGTTCCATTGTATGTGATGCGCTTTGGTCTTGGACAGGATTTGGGATAATCATGAC